CCCCCCTAGACAAACCTCGCACCTGCGGCGCTCGGCTCGTGCCTTCGGCCCTCGTTTATCAAGCGAAACATTATAGGGGCGCATATTTGTTGACAGCCCACTGGCCCCCCCCAGAAAAATAGTACCCAGCACGCCACTGTCCGTAATTTCCACCAAACGCCTAGTCACCATTTTGTAAACTAGTTTTTATTGTTTAATATCTACCTGTGGGTGAATATAAGGGAATATCGAATATCACGTCAAATTTTACCAACTGACCACGTCGGATTTCTTATATTCACTTGTGTAAAAATACTAATATGGTTTAGCTAGTAATACTAATATGGTTCAAAATGGCGGCTAGCCGTTTTGTTGAAGTTAGTGATAAAGAAATAAGCGAAATTAAAATGAATTCAGACCAGAAAAACTTGTGCAAAAATACTAAAACAATTATTCGCCTCAGGCTCGGTGATTATCGGGGAATATTCACCTCGACTGCGTCTCGGCGAATATGTAAGAGTTAAATACCGAGAAGGAGGGCTTTATGCTATATACAGCCCCGAGAACGCGAAGCGTTCGAGGGCTTTATATAGCATAAAGCCCGACATTCGAGGTATTTAACTGACTTATTTCATGATTGAAGAGGTTTTCTAACAAAGTTTTATTCTTTTTTTTCGATTTCGACAAGTATTTTTCTAGTTTTCTCCCTTATTTCTTGACTAATTAGGGCTTTATGGTATTCAAGGGCATTATGCTATATACAGCCCGCGGTACATCAAAGAAAACCGAGTCAATCATGAAATAATCCCCGATAATCACCTCAGGTTTAAGGGAAATATAAAATATAGTTCTGTATGAGAAAATGATGAACGATTCCACTTCTGTTATATATTTTACTATTTTAGCTTCATATAAATACACACGGCCGGCAATAATACTTTATACAACTCAATATCTGACTCATTGCAACCGATTTTTGGACGTATACTGTATATTAACACAATAATTGCAAGTTTATACCACAACTAAGTTCATTTTATCTGCATTGGTTTACTTAAAAAAAGCGAAAAAGTTGACCATATTGAAATGGGGCGAGTTTGGGTCAGTTTTGAGCATTTTGACATTTTCAATTTTTCATTGCGAAATCTACTTTTCGCTTCGCCCTTGCATCGCCCCGCCCCCAAATTGTTAGGTTCCAGTCTTCTCACGTGAAAATCGATGAAATATACTGATGGAAGGCCCTTATAACTGGCAATATTAGTGATATATGCAATATATAAATATATATATATATATATATATATATATATATATATATATATATATATATATATATATATATATATATATATAGTTATCATATAAGGGATGAGGTGATATCAGTTTTATCGCTCGAGGGATGATATCACAATTGTCACGAGCGAGCGCAGCGAGCGAGGGACAATTGTGATATCGTCCCGAGAGCGATAAAACTGATATCACCGAATCCCGAGTACGATAACCTATTTATTATATACTTGTACCTTTATCAGGGTTTGACACCCAAAAGTAAACAGTTTTGAAAAAATAGGATCATTTTAGAATTCAAAACAATTCATCATTTACTGAACAAATATGATTTTAGAAAATAAATAGACCATTCAAATAAATAATATACAATTTAAATCTTTCATTTTGTATTATCGTTGTGTTTTCTTCGATAAACTGTCGACATCAACCAACACGAACCTCGAGTCGGCCATCTTTGTTTTGACAACGCGCGAAATTTAGCGGGACAAAAAACGATATCCGGGACAAAAAACGATATCCGGGACGATATCGTTTTTATGTCCCGCTGCTTCCTACCTGATAAAGGTACAAGTATGTGATAAATACAAGTATCACTCTGTAATATGATAAGTTGAAAATGTTCTCGAGTGTGTATTTCATAATTTCCAGCCCGCGCTCAAGCTGCAAAGAGATCATTGCCTACCTCAAGACTCAGCGCGGCAGGCAATATCTTTCTGCTTGCGCGCGGTCTGGAAATTATGAAATACACCCTCGAGAACATTTTCAATATATTTAACAATTATTCATCGAAGGCGAGGTAATCAGTATATCGGGGAATATTCGCCGACATGAAGTCGAGGTGACTCAGGTGAATATTCCCCAATAATCACTGAGCCTGAGGTATTTAATATTTTTACACAAGCTTTTGTGGTTTTTGAGACTAAATTTATTTTAATTTCGCTTATTTCTTTGTCAGTAAACTTCCACAAAACGCGGGTAGCCGCCATTTTGAAAATTTCTGTTTTGTTAAATTCACTGTAGGTGAATATAACAGCTGATTACGTCAGATTTGACCAATCAACGTGTAGGATTTGTTATGTTCACTTGTGCAAAAATACTAAATATATTCATCGTATATGAGCTGTTCTGCAAGTACAGGGAAAAGGCTCTCAAAAAATTTGACAGCGGGTTAGCAAAATACATTTTTTTACATAGAAATTGGTTTAAATACAAGTTTTTTTAAAGAATTAATACCGAAACAACATAGAAATTGGTTTAAATACAAGTTTTTTTAAAGAATTAATACCGAAACAACAGCGAAAAAAACATTGAGAATATAAATCAGTTATCAGTCAGAAAAGTTTGCAGCGAAAGACTGAGTTTGCAGTCAACAAGCGCTTACTATACTACCAAACAGCTGTATAATATACCGAGCTTTTCTGTGAGATATACCGGTTCTAAAACCATTTCTTTCACAGTCGTCTTCGAGTTGTAAAACAAAAGTATTTCAAATTTTCAAGGCCAAGCGGTTTTTGGCCGAACAAATTGTCAAGACATTGTAATCTGGGATAATTAATTATTGCTTCAGTTAATGGCTATTAGACTATATTATAAAACAATGATACCATTCGCTCTCGTCGTATATGGCTGATAGCCGACTCGGTGCTACGCACCTCGTCAGCTATCAGCTCATATACGACTCGAGCTCATGGTATAATTGTTAAATATACACTGCATGTCCAATGTTTTCCATGACTGATAATGAGTTGCATGGAACTTCCATTAAAGTATTATTACCTTCATGATGATAGTGTGGTATTAAAAAAATTTAATCAGTGTACAATGATAAGTCGAAACATGTATATATAGCCTATGCTATTAACTAATGGTTGATAAATAAATATATTTTGAAACAGGGCCTTTTTTAAGAATTTGTCCTGGCAGTGGGGGGCATCTATAGAAAGGGATCATACTATACTGAATGTGCAGAGGTGACAGATGATTGTTGGTGACAAAACGTTTGGTATGCATGGTGTCGTATAGTACATAGGGGGGTCTGGGCATTCTTCCGCAGAGTATTTTCGTATTTTTTCACCCTTATAGAACTGCACTTCCTGCGTTTTCTGAAACATAATTTTGGATATACAGCGTTTCATTATACTGTAGATGGACTGAATCTTCAGTTGAGTACTTGCATGGTATGTCAGTTTTGTAACTAAACCCAACTCATGCAATGACTTAATTAGCCTAGCCTTCAACAAATCTATAGGGTCTGGTATATGCTATCCACTGAGAAATGTTTAACTCTAAGGTATATTTACAACACAATGTTTAGCATTTTTTAAAAGACAGCTGTGAATCATTTTGAAGATAAAAGACATGACATAAGATTCACACTGCAAGGTTCAGTTACTGGAATATCAAACCTCGGCCAACGTTTTTTAGATCGAGAAAAGGGATCTTGATTTTTTTTGGGAGGGAGGAGCAAAGTGGTTGACTGCTAGGCTGGGGGGGGGGGGACTTGGCCCCCCCAGTTATATGTATAGGTTATTTTGAGGCAACGAGAGGATATGTGATTTATTCACCGAGGCGCGCAGCGTCGAGGTGAATAAACACATATCCCCGAGGTGCCTCAAAATAACGTACTTATTTTTCACATTGCGAGGCCGCGTTAATTAAATTAATGAGTCAGAATATATAGAAATAATTCTTAATGCCATATTGCCTTCGTTATGTTGTTTTTCTCATTTTTTGTGCTGCAAAGACATTGCAGGTGAATATTAGAGGGAATTATTAAACGGAAATTGACTAGATCGAGGGAATATTGAATATATTCCCCGATAAGAACAAAGGAAACCGAGCAGGGTGAAAAATAAAGTTAAAAAATGCCCCGTTTCGGTAAAATAATTACGTTAGACGTTAGTTTATGGTGGTACACAGGCAGCAAATGACTGAAGTTATTGCGCCAGATATGTATACAGCTCCAGCTCATTGGCCTGCATTTGAAAACGGGTTATAGATTGATGCCTCGCTGTTCACAAGTTAGGTTCAGCGGTTAGGGTTAGAGTCAGGGTAAGGATTAGGGCTCAGCTCAGCCTCAGCATTCATAAATAGCGAGACATGAATCTATAACCTGAGAACATCATAACCGCCGCTGCCCAGGTGAACAAGTGCAAATTAGGTATTATGCGTCATGTATAGCGTTGATGTTGATATAATCTTCTTGGGATACTTGAAGAATGTAGAAATAGGAAATCAGTGATTACTGTATAGACTGACGCAAACATTTGGCTTGTAATTGATCGATATTTTTCTCTCATTTTATTAATTTTTGTGAAAAAAGCTTAATTAATATATTCTTGCTTGATAATATTGGCATTCTTTTCTACTATGTTGATGGATAAATTAGTTAAGAATTAAAACAAAGATGAAGAATGTAAAAGAAAATATTTGTTTTTGAATGATTCCGGAAGTTTCTTTTAAAATTCGCAGCACAAAGGTCGAAAGGTGTTTAGATATGCATGAACAGCTCAATGATTCTGTGAGCGTTTGCCCAAGCCAAGGCAGTTTATCAACATCGCAGAGCTGACATATGGCAGTGTAAACGAAAACGAAATGAGTGATAACTTAAAAGTGATAGCATAACTTACAGGGCAAACAGACGTTATTGCTTTTGGGACCAGGCAACTGTTGGATGATTCAGTGTTTGAGCTGACAGTAACAGAATATCATATATTGACGTGCCTCTCAAAATGCCCCTCAAAGACAGCTATTGCTTGCAATGGCTGCGAGAAAACCTTCTTCTAATCCTCATAATGGTCGGAGTCCTGATAGGTTTTCTGTTCGGAATTTTGGTCAACGACACAGTTCAGAACTCGACAGATCCTACTCCGAAAGAAGCGGCCATGTATATATCATTCCCTGGGGAAATATTTCTTCGTATGCTGAAATTGATCATTCTGCCTCTCATTGTATCGAGCATTATTGTTGCCGTGGCCGTTTTGGACAATAAGTCAACGGGAAAGCTTGGGAAACGAGCTGTTATTTACTATATGTCAACTACAGTTCTCGCTGTGATACTTGGTATTGTTTTGGTATCATCTATCAAACCTGGTGCAACGAAGTCAGCTGGGAAATCTGAAGAGCAGCAACATGTTGAAGCCGTTCATTCTATATTTGATTTGATAAGGTACCTGATATTGATAAAGCATTCAAATTTTTAACGTGCCAAACATGAACATAATAAGTAAAATTCTTCAGTTACTGATGAATTCTTACTGATAACCTTTTGGCTGTATTATATAAACAGGGTATAAGATTAAATTTCTAATATCTAAATGAAGTCCGCATTTCTATATCGATAACAATTTAAAATAGGCTACGATTATTCATTCGTGAAGACCTATAATAACATTTAAAGCAGCTTCATGGTATGCATCAACTTTTATTAAGTAGCTACCATTAAACAGTCATAAACAGTATAAACATTACAGAGGTACAGTATATATATATTTATGCCGGTTCCCTTTGGTGATCGCTAGTTCTAAGGTCTTGTGATCCGCGACCCTACATGTTAGCCTATATTCCGCCAAATGAAATGGAAACAAGACTTCAGCAGATTGCATGATTACTGATTGAACCGCTCATTATAAAATAAGGTCGGATAAATGGCCAGACTAACCTCTTGAACTACATTATTAACCGCTAATTATGAAATACAGGAAGCCAACATAGACCATTTATCCGTATATATGACATCGTAATTTCCCGCCAAAATTCGTGTTTATATTTTTAACATTAAATTTCGCGTATTCGCAGCATATTTCGAGTTCGTATTCTTCGGATATGCAGGTAGAGTCAAATATCTACAAAAATTCATTTTCGTAATTGGAATTATTTTTTTATATTAATGATTTAATGTTCGTCGCATTTTCGACATTATATAAGTTCATATTCGCCAGTCGCCACATTTTGTGTGAACTAATTTGATTTTTAGCGGAAATGAAGAGGTAAATTCGGCCGCCAAATAGTCGAACACACATTGATTTTATAGACATTGGTATTGCGCAAGGTGTAGGCTTATAGCGAAAGATTGAATTGACTCGGCAAACCTAATAATAATACAAAATTCTGGAGGACAAACATTTATATTTTACATCGTTTCTTTTAAAAAATAATTTAGGATAAGAGTTTAATATTTAGGAGATTTTTAAATCAAAACAGCATTCTTTCAGCCGGCGTAACTTCCGTGTATATTGTTTCTTTCATTGGATAATGCTTCTTTAGACATGCTTTAAATAAGTTTGAAAGTCTCTACTGCATAGAAGTAGTTGCGAGCGCGAGAATCTATAATTTGCTTGCTCAAAAATAAACAGCATGAAGTGGCCGACTGTTAAGTGTTATGTTTGACAAATAACAAAATCTATACGATTCACATGATACCGGGGAATACACAGACACAGTTGGATACACATCTAGATTCTAGAATTAGGCTCCGGCGATCGATAGAAAATTAGAAATAACATTTAGGCCTATACGTGACATATTAATTTTTACCCCTAGTGGCGGATTTGACAAGAGTGTATGATGTGTGCTTAACAACGGTTTAACTAAATACTGAGATTTGTCTGAATTTTGTGACTGCATGACAACTGGCAAAATATCTCAAAAATAGAAGAACTGACGTTATAATTGATTTTTTTTCCTTCTAGAAACTGCTTTCCCGACAATCTTGTTGGAGCTGCATTTCAATCTGTAAGTGATAGCTATATGCTGCATGCATGTACATGAGTTTTGGATTTTTAAAATTCAACTTTTCAGCACATATTAATATACAATTATTGGAATTATCAAAGTCAAGGACATGGCAACACTTAAGCTTGGATCAAACGAGGATACGCATGAGAGTGCATGAGCTGAGAGTTTGGCAGTCACGCGACCTTGAGTAGCAGTTCTGAAATGCTTTCCCAACGATCATACTATTCTAATTAGGTTGAAACATAGTTGGAAGACTCGTCAAACCTTTGCTTGTCTTGAATGTCCCCCGTAACAAATCTTCCAACTCCGCTCCAGTGATGTATATAGTTCTGATCCGTACAAAGACAATTGATTATATTCCAACTCCGCTCCAGTGATGTATATAGTTCTGATCCGTACAAAGACAATTGATTATATATATATATATATGTATATATATATATATATATATATATATATATATATATATATATATATATATATATATATATATATATATATATATATATATATATATATATATATATGTGTGTGTGTGTGTGTGTGTGTGTGTGTGTGTGTGTGTGTGTATATGTATATTTGCATATATGCATGGCCAGCTAGCCCAGGAGTCTTTGTGTTGGCGCTGGACTCCCTAGACGGCTAGACCTAGTCCCTATACACGTTCATTGTATTATATTAATACGCATGGCTAGCTAGCCCATAGGAGTCCAAATACAGTTTATGTATATGTGTATGTATATACAAGCACATTCATGTGCATATGTATACACAGGCGGCCCAATCTTGCAAGGGTCAGTAAAGATATGTCATATAAAATATATATTTTAAAATCAAATTTACTTGCCTATTTGATAGTGTGTGTTCTCCTTTTATTCCTCTTTTATTGAATTAATATATTTTCCGAAACTTTGCACTCGATGGTTGCGGCCGCTACTAGTATACATAATATATGATAAAAGCAAACGGCTTCCGATCGTCGATCCATCGGCACAACCGCACAAGCACTTCGAATCGAAAATTCACCCCCTCAAATCGCTTTATTCTCCAAATAAATTCGCCAGCTTGTAGAACAGACGCCGTTCTTCGAAAATACTGAGATGCTTCGGCGAGATGTATATATACGTTTTGGACCATATTTTAACAATGGAAATCAAAACCCCTTTTTTATTGAACTTACAAAGACCGACGATTACTAACCGTTGGGATTTATATGGGGAGTTACATTAATTCGAAATATGATCGTTATATTCAAGGTAATTCTGTTCTACAAGTTGGCGAATTTTTAGAATAAAGTGATTTGAGGGGGTGAATTTTCGATTCGAAGTGCTTGTGCCGACGGATCGACGATCGGAAGCCGTTTGCCTTTATCATGTATTATGTATACTAGTAGCGGCTGCAACCGTCGAGCGAAAAGTTTCGGAAAATATTAATTCAACAAAAGAGGAATAAAAGGAGAACACTCACTATCAAATAGGCAAGTAAATTTGACTTTAAAATATATATTTGATGACATATTTTTACTGTAATATACATTAATATACTGACCCTTGCAAGATTAGGTCGCATGTGATGTATAATAACAAAGTATGTTCGAACTCATACTCGTTCCCAGGGCCTCTCAGCCGCGCGCGAACTTCATAGGCTCTGGGATATACGGTAACACGGAACCGGAAGTGCAAGAAAACTTGCAGTAATTTCTAAAGCGCATACTCTTGAATTGGGACTCTTTAGCACCCGTGACAATTTTAACAGAGAACTATTACGAAGAAACGAAGTGTGTTGACATAGAATAATTTTGCTTAGCGAAAACTGCTCAACCTCTGGGAAATAGCAGTTCTCTGAGAAGCCAATCACATCTCTCCCTTTGGTCGTCTGATCCAGAGCTTAATTTGCAACTCTCATCAACTCTCATCCACATTTGATCAGGGCTATAGCGAGACCATCCTCGTACCCAGGGTCTTTTTGGGAAAGACCCCGGTATTGTCTGGTCACGTGACTCTACAAAAATTAATTGCCCAAGGGAGCTTCCACAGAAAACGTTAGATTTCGAATACCAGGAGTGGGATTTTACGATACATAGTTCGAAGCGCCCGCTAACTTCTATTTTATACCCCTGTTTGCTTTTAAATTACGAAAACACTGTAGCATTTTATCAATAGTCAAGTCAAGAAACAAATAAAATCGTATACTTTAAAGTTTTAAGTTGGGTATTCTCTCTCAAAAAAATTTTGATATCAAACCGGTCAGTCGCCATTAACGTTTTCATATATTCTCTTCTATCTGTTTCTAAAATATGCCATTAGATTTGTTGTTAGCAAACGTTAATATACTCTGTGTCGATTTACTAATAGTACGCGTCTTGTTTATTGAAGATTGATAAAATTTTGAAAAGTAACTTTTTGCCACAAAATACAATGTAAACATGACACTGTCAAACAAAGACTGAATGCTCACTTTAAAATTGTCGATGCATGATTTATCTTTGAAAATACTTTTAATTAATTCAATAGTTCATTATATTAAAAACGTGCAGATAGGTAGGAGCTCTAAATCTGTATATTAATAACACTATTTTATATAGTGATTTATAATATAGCATTTGTAAATTCTGAACGTTGATTGGCTAAGAGCCGTGTTGATATAACTCAATGTCAACACGGAAACGTCGGAAACTTTTTCTTTATATTTCTTTGTGCTATATTATAAAACTCGTGGAAATTGGGAAAACTCGAAATTGTGTGAAAACACTCCGCCCTTCGGGCGTCGTGTTTCCACACAATTTCTCGTTTTGCCAATTTCCACTCGTGTTGATATAACTGTATATCAACACGGAATATGGTTTATATTTGTTAAATCTAAACAGAACAGACTAACATGCAGTGTCCCACACCAGCATGCATAATAAAAGTCAGTATTATATTTCACAAAGTAAAAATTTCTCGCGTGTTACTAGCCTGCGAACAGGCCCTCAAGTTGAATTGAGAGCCTGCATCGACAATCTCGTACCCAGAGCAATGCCTGTGTGCGGGCTAGGATGGCATTGGCTCTGGGGAAATTGAATTTTTCCTGTGCTGTGATTGGTTTAACGTCTATCAATCATGCATGCCGACAAAGAACCGGAACCCCAGAATTTAGGGGTTCCGGTTTCAATTTCCCCAGAGCCAATGCCATCCTAGCCCGCGCACAGGCATTGCTCTGGGTACGAGATTGCTGCATCGATGACTAATGAATTTGAATATCTGCGTCTCAAATCGTGACGCGAAATTCTCATTGGTCAGATGCTATAATTTATATGTTTCCGCTGAGCTCTATATATGTCAACTGCTGAAGCACTATGCATAAAAAACACATTAACTGATCAAATTGATCTTGGCCATCTTATCTCAAAGCATGAAATGTTCTGTTTTGAGAAAACAGTATTTAAAACATTTAAACTTTTGCTTGAATATCTTATATTTCGAAAAACAGTATAAAGTGTACGGTCTAAATTTAGTTTGCACGGTCTAAATTTAGTTTGCACAAGTTGTAAACAACACCATATAAGGATAGACATTCCATATTTGGAAAAACGAAAGTTACGGGGCAGATATTCAAAATTGTATATCATCAGTGCAGGCTCTCAATTCAACTTGAGAGCCTGTTCGCAGGCTAGCGTGTTGCTGTTAGAACATGCATCGATCAACAAATTACATAAATTGTGCATGGTCTGTATCCTCTAATACATGTGGTCTGTATTCTGTAATGTTACAAATATGTAGTCACATACAGTATTTGTATAAACATACATGAACAGCTAGTGAGCTAGAAGAGTCTTTGAGGCTATTTTCGGATTATTTACCGTAGGTTTAATTTGATAACAGGGAGGTATACTTCGACATATTTCTTGAGCATCAAGTTTCAGCGAAGTCAATGGCAATGTTGGAATTTGGAAATTTACAACGCTTTTACATAATAACAGTCCGAGTAGCATTGTTTACAAGTAAGGTTTGTTCCGTTTGTAGTTTGCGATATTTTAGAAATCAAAAGATCTCTCTATTTCGTTACAATTCCATATCTCAGTATTAAATAAATCCTTTAGGATAGAGATCAACAGCTAGATAACAGCCACATCGGTCGGTGTAGAAATATATTTTCTTATAACGTTTGCGACGACGTGTGATTTCTTCGACGAGTCGTATAGCATAATTTGTCTATTGAAATCTGATCTATCTTTGCTCACCAACATTCTTCCCACAATGAAATTTGATATTCCTTATTGTGTAACTGGATAGTATTCATGACAAATAAAATATACAATTTTTTAAATATTTCTTGCATGATTTCTGCATTATTTCTTCCCTCACTCCTTGCTCGGTGACAAAACGCTACTTAGTTATGCAGGAGTCAATTCCTGGAGTAAACCCCCCCCCCGGGACACCCCCGGGAATTTGCCCGATAGACAGTTCACGGTGGTCGGGAATTTGCCTTTCATATACATGTACGGGGGCCGGGTATTGAAAGACCCCGGGGATTTGACAAATGGTTGCCCAGAATCCCACCCTCAAATTTTAAGGCAGCAAAATCTAGTTTCAGACACGCATGTGGGCGCGCTGATCGTATTTTGCGTCCTCGTGGTCAAGGTGGCGTGAAATTTATTGTCAGAATAAGCGAAAATTATATCCTGTGCCATGCATGCAAATTTAAATACAACTATTAAAGGTTTATGTTTTATAATATTCCATAGCAGTTTAATACTATAATGTTATTAAATAACTATGATTATGTGCCATTAAAAGTTTAATAAACGTTCACAGTCGATTTCACGCAACTTTAACCACAAATTTTCCGAACTTCGTTGCGAAGTTCACAAGATTGTTGCGAAGTTCAAAAGTTTATAATGAGATTCACAAACCAGTTTGTAAGCTACGCATTTGATTGGCTTCTTTTACTTCACGGACCAATCATGCAGGGACTTGTTTACACTATTGGGTTGTGAATTCCAATATGAGCTTCCGAACTTCGCAACGAATATGCGAACTTCGCAACCGGAAGTTCCGAACATTTGTGGTCAAAGTTTCGTGAAATCGACTGTAAAATCGTCCCCGGGGTGGGGCATTTTCCACTCTCACCTTGCCCAAGGGCTGTGTATTAGTCTTTAAGTTGTGTCCCGGCACCCGGGCATTTAAACTATCATAACCAATCAAATCAAATGCCCGGGTGTGTTCCCAGGGGGGGGGATGGTTACTCCTGGAATTGACTCATGCATTACCCACCCTAAAAGAAATTCATTGTTACCTCCCAGATTCTGGGAGACACGTGACCAGACAATACCAGGGTATTTTCTCAGCAGGTGAATAGAGAGAAAATAATCTGGGTACGAGGTTGTAGCGAGACCATGCTAACTTAGATATCACAAAAACCGAATTCAATGTTGTTTTGCTATATATATGCATTGCATCCGGCGCTATTTAACGCCTTCGATAAATAACGATTTAAATTCCATCACAGACAGCTGCAACGTTTAGTTCTCAAAAAGTGGGAAAAAAAACTAGTTATAAGGTCATAACTAAGACAAAAGAAATACAAAACTCATTTAACGTCTACACTAAAATGAAAAAAATGTTTTTTTTCAAAAACAATTTCAAAAAACAAATCCATGTTGTTTTTCTCCTGTTTTTATTATTTTATACTAAGCTTGCTATAAAGTTACTTGCCAGCACATGCATATTAATTGAAGTTAGTTAGTGAGTTATTTGGAAGGAGGGGAGACCAAAGTAAAAAGGTTATCAAATCGTGGCCGTAAGTGTTCTGGAAGCATGCCCACCAGGAAATTTTGAAATCTAGACTCTCTGAAATTAACTGGCATTTTCAGCCATTTTGCAGTGTTGCGCAACATTAGACAGTTACTCAAGTAAAGGATAATACTGGATTACATTACTAATTTTACAATTTTCCAACATTCTTTATTCAAAAAAGCAACATAAAACGTAATTATATTTATATTAAAATAAATAATATACGAGTTATTAATGAAATGATCTTCAAACACTCATTAATAATTCATAAGCTTATTGGCAAATCATGTCAACCATAACATGTCACGTGCATGCAGTGGCTTTAAACCTGATAAAACACTCCTAATTAGTATTCTTTATATAAAGAATACTAATCAGGCAGTATCTATTGTAGTTGTGTCCTCATTAGTATTCTTTATATAAAGAATACTAATAAGGCAGTATATATCTATTGAATTTGTAGTCGTGTTTGAAGCCGTTTAATAAACTCGCAGGTCGTGTTTTATTAGGTCTAAAGCCACTCGCGCTGCGCGCTCGTGGCTTTACCTAATAAAACACTCCTGCTCGTTTATTAAACAGTACATAACTAGTACTGACTATTTAGCTTCAATCTTCATGCAGAATACTCAATTTCGGGTGGAAGGCGAAACATATCCCCCCCTGTTTAACAATGTAGTGTATCAGCTCCCTTTCCCACCCCTCCCGCTTCCTACGCTTCTGACGGATTTATAATGCATCATAATTTACTTTAAAATCATTTATGAATTTATAGGATAAGTGTCACATCACGGACTTTTGTTATTAGTGAGCTTAAGCAAGCGACGTTTTTGTCAACACGGACGTCACCCGAAAATTGGTATAACTAACTTTTGTGGTATTTTGCATCATAGCGCTCGTGTAAGGAAGCAAAAAACTTTAAAAAATGTTATGTTTTGTCATATGTGTCGAGGATTACCACAAACTGATACAAACATTGTTTTTAATGCAGTCCTCCCTCGGCAATCTGTCATCCGTGTTGACAAAAACGTACTTAAGCCATTATATAAGCTCACTATTGTTATTATCTCATCCAATATCAGCTAATAATGATAAAAATAGCTGATTTTGGTACATTTTATAATAAAAAGTAGACAAAAGACTGAGCCAGGATTCTCAGACGATGGTTTAAATATACGACAGATTAAAAGAAAAACACATTTCAGTCCGGATCTATATTGATCTCCTCGGCCCATAAAATGGCCGACAGCAGGAATTTGAGCCCGGAATTTCATGGTGCGACACTAATCCTTTAAAAATCTATTTTTTCGGTTGTAGACTTCAACGAAATTCACAAAGAAACCTAAGGGTTTCAAATTTACTAACAAATCGGTCGAGGATTACAAGAACTCCGCAAAGAACTTGACCAAATTATTAAGAAATGGCTTTCTAAACCCATGGAGTGTCTCGTACAATCAGAATGTATTTCAAATGATTGAAGAGTCTGGTTCGGATTATGAATATGACGGCCTCAAGACGGATGGTCGATTGAATATCATTGGAATTCTGGTCTTCTCCATTGCTTTTGGTATAATTTTGAGCAAGATGGGCGAGCGGGGGAGACCAATGACTCAATGGTTTAGTATTATGCTGGAAGTTACCATGAAGTTGGTAGAAATTATCATGTGGTAAAAATTATAACTATTTGTTGTTTCAATCATGAAATAGTTCATCGAGACATTCAGCATTAGCGCAATTTTAGGAAGCATCATATCTTGGCGGCTTGAAATTAACATATTCGAATTATCTCCACTCTTCTGCACAATTCCACCCTCCTTTTCCCAATTACATTCTTCTTTGGATTTTGCATATCTTCGATGTGAACAAACATTGTACTGTATGCTGGGGAAAGGTTGGGGAGAATATATTCTCTAACCTATATTAAAAGAATGAATATCCAACCCTTCTTAAAACCACAGACCTCAAAAATATGTTTTCAAGGCAGCACAATCCACAATCAACAGTGGCGGCGCCAGGGGGGGGGCAAGGGGGGCAAATGCCCCCCCCTATTTTTTGCCCCCCCTCAAAAAAAATTATTAGTCACTAAGAGCGACTAAAGGCTACACAAGCGTTCTGTCGTTATCGGAAAATGTATGGCTTATAAGTTTTCATTACTCATTAGTGAATGCGCGTATACATGAAACTGTTTTTTACAGTTTCAATATTAGTTTGTAAATCTCTGAATGGTAAAACTTGCCAATACTCCAATAATACGTTTCAAAAAAAGACAAAAAAGCTTTAGTTTTGCAGAGTTAAATTCTCAAACGTGTAAGGCAATAATAAGATGAAAGTATCACGAAATTATTTGAATAAACCACATCGCATATAGTAAGTAAGTAAGTAAGTAAAAACTTTATTTGACTACGCTAACCCCTACAGCAAGAGCTGATTTCCAAGAGGGGCGTAGGTTTAAAACTACAAACGTTACACTCAATTAGGATAAATATATATACAAGACTAACACATTACAATACAATTATACAATTATAATTACTCTACTATGGTCAAATAAATAAAATTTCATAAACTCATTATCTAACTGGCCAGGTGCCGCAGCAAATTTCGAAACCGTCGACGGTCGAGCACATCATTGATGGTCGAACACATCATTAATCTCGTTCCCAGATTCCGAGAGCGCGCAACAATAATACAAGCTGCTTTCTCCAAGCCTCATTTTTATAGTATATTTTGTGTTCAATATATAGATCACAGTAAGGCTTTTTTAATAAACACATTTAAAAAACACATTTAACGTAATAAGCACATTAAAAAAAGCCTTACTGTGGTCTATATATTGAACACAAAATAATACAAGCAGTAATACACATGGGCGTACCGGAAGAAAAAAATTAGGGGGGCGGAAAGAAAATTGCCCGACTTTTCGGGATTCTGCCCGACTAGTAGCAAAAATGTTTTTCCGGAAAAATTATTTTGGCGACCTCTAAAAAATTTTCCGGACAACCAATATTTTTCGGAACATAAAATAGTACGCCTATGTACGCCCGGTACGCCTATGGTAATACAAAGTACACCGTGGATATTCGTCCGACATTCGTGCTTCACGGCTATTCATCCGACAACGCTTTAAAAGCTAACACTAAACCACTAAAAGGGTTGCGTTGTTTCTTAAGAACAAAGCAACAACATATTCGATACGCTATACGTTTCGTACGCGGTGCGTAAGCGAAAATCACGAAGAAAAAAAAAGTACAAAAAAAATAATAAAATAGTGGCGCGAGCAGGAATCGATCCCAGAACGTGGCGCACACATTACGGGTGCCTAAACCATTACACTACGAAGGATTCGCTTGAAATTCAATTAAATTTACGCTGTTTTATTTTTAACGACTTTAACGATATGGAACTGTCGGACGAATATCCACTTCCTATTTAATATTGTTGCTAATATTGGCATCTTCCAAGTGCTCAGTATTTCGTTCTGAAATGGTTTTCTACAATCTATTTGTAATATTTTACAATACTTCAACATTAAAATAATAAATTTTAAAATATACTTACTGCAACACTCTTGTAGAAGGCATGATAACCGGTAAACCGAATCGACTGCTTTGCGTTTCCACTGCTACCTAGCTACCTAGCTTCCATTTTTCACCCTCCCCCCCTAAATATGCAATTTTTCCTCGCTCTCGCCTTCGCATTCCCCCCTAGCTTTCCCCACCCTTGCCCTCCCCCCTAAATAGCGCCTGCTACGCAGGCTAACTGCTACCCGCCATCTTTTCAAAAATCTGAACATTATTTATTATGCCGCGCGAAATCTTTTCATCGACTTGGTGTAAGATGTCACCAAATGGTTTCACGCGCTAATTATCGCTAGCGCGATCTGGGAACGAGATTAATGATGTGTTCGACCATCAATGATGTGCTCGACCATCAATGATGTGCTCGACCGTCGACGGTTTCGAAATTTGCGGTGCCGCACCTTTATTTCGGCGTTTATTTCTTAGTCTATCTGGGAGGCCATTCCACAATTTTGCTCCTCTATAACTAAGACCTTTTTTAAGATATTCGGTCTTAGGTTTGGGCAGGTAGAGATTTGTGGCATAACCTCGTAAGTTATAATGTTGAGACGAAGGCGTCTTTTGAAACATATCAATTAGTTGTTTGGGCGCTAGATCGTGGGTTATTTTGTACATGAGACTTGCTACAAATTGAGTTCTGCGTTCTTTCAATGTTTTCCAGTTTAGTTCATTTAAAGCAAGTTCAGATTGGCCGTGTTCGTTTTTACGACCCGTAATTACTCTAGCAGCCCTATTTTGTAATTTTTTGAGGCGATCAGAGAGTGTGATACCAATAGTATCCCAAACTTCGCAGCAGTAGTCGAAGTGGGGCAATATAAGTGCGTTATAAGCACATATTAATGTATTATGGTCCACACAGGGTTTGAGTCTTCTGATCGCTCCAATTCCGAATGAAACCTTCTTAGCAATTTTGTCAATATGCTTATTCCATGACAAAAATTCATCAATACATACTCCAAGTGCTTTTGTTTCTCTCATTCTTTTAATTTGTACATCGCCAACGAACACATTTGGAACAAGGGCTAGATTGTTGACGTTATGCCGAGATCCAATTAGTAGGTATTCAGTTTTAACAAGATTGAGGGATAGTTTGTTTGCAGATAGCCACCGCTTTACGTTAGCAAGATCATAATTAATGGCCATTTCTACATCAGCAACTGATTTACCAGATGCAGTTAATGTCGTATCATCGGCAAACATTCTTGTTGACGAATACTCCAAACTGTTTGGCAAATCATTAATATAAACCAAAAATAGGAGCGGCCCAAGAATTGGGCCTTGAGGGACTCCACATGTAATTAATTTTTTACGAGAAAGTGTGCCATTAACAGAGCACATTTCAGTTCTGTTTTCTAGATACGATTTTAGGAGGTTTAAAGCTGATGTTTCTAAACTATAATGAAGGGGGGCGAATGTCCTAAAAACGGGCGATATTCCTAGGGTATTCGCCCCACCCCCCTGGGAGGCGATATTCCTTGGATATTCGCCCCCGGGGGCGATATTCCTAGGAATATCGCCACGTTTTGAGGGGGGGGGGGTGAATTTCCTGGGGGAGGGGGCGACCTTTTTAAAAATTCTATCTTGCCCCCCCTAAAATTTGAGTTTGCCCCTCAAATGCCCCCCCCCCCGCCCCAAATTTGGAAGCCTGGCGCCGCCACTGACAATCAATAATATCCTGCGTAAACAAAATATAAAACTTTCTTCATAGGAAGTTTTCAGAGAATCTGCGGTGACACACCTAAGCTTCAATTTCAACAAATGACAATTCCAATTTTCTAAACGGATTTGGAATACAAGCAAATCATATGGGTGATATAACATTCTAATAGATACGATGACAAAGTCTTCTGCAAGACGTAAGAAAAGTTCCTTTCTGACAGTGGTGTTGCCAATCATTTTCTAACAGCCTCTTCCGTAGGCAACACCCCTTATACCCTCTTGACTTTTTAATATAAATGAAAACATGAGATAAATGCGAAAGTACTTGGATTGTTTCTATAGGTTCTGCCAACTTGCCACTAGCATGATGTATACTTTATCAACATATGTTTTCTTTGTCTTTTTCAACATTTGTTTCAATATCAATTATTATCAGCATTTGTTTTCTAGGTTTTCTCCTATTGGAATTTGCAGTCTAATAGCAGGCAAGTTGGCCGGTATGGAGGATATTAAAGATAATCTAGAAAGTCTGGGATTGTACATGTTAACTGTCATAGTTGGACTACTTATTCATGCCTTAATTACACTGCCAATAATCTACTTTGTTATCGTAAGGAAGAACCCTCTGTACTTCTTCTTTGGAATGGGAAGTGCTCTACTAACCGCATTTGGAACATCATCAAGGTTTGACGTTTAAACTGTTGTTATTTTCTGCTTCTAGTTCTACTTTAGATAAAACGCTAAATAGGGGCTGGGATGTTGGAAATAGTAAAGACTTAGTTGACAGTAGATATAGCTAATTGATATTTATTATGTAATTAAACTATGTAATTAAATTTCGAGAATCATTATGGGACAGTTATGCCTGAACATATGAATTTATATATACATATTTTAGATAGATATATATGTTTTAATTGGAGGACGTCCCTGAAAATCACTGTAAACGTGACGGGCGCTTCCTCTGTAAAGATTACATATTATTATTATTATTATTATTATTGATGTTACTCTGAGTGTGCATCCACACCGGGCAAGCTGAAAAGTTAATTGGCCAAGCCACGGTGGGAATCGAACCCGCGACCTTTGGGATACTAGTCCAATGCTTTGCCGACTGAGCTACGCAGTCAAGTCGGTTCGAGTTGATGATATTTCGGAACAGAGTCTAGTTCCTTCGATATCAGTGTATTGTAAGATATGATATTTGTGTGTGTTAGTGTTATGTACTCAGGTGAATATGATGTTTGTGATGTTACTCTGAGTGTACATCCACACCGGACAAGCTGTTCCAGGTCGCGGGTTCGATTCCCACCGTGGTCAAGCAATTAACTTTTCAGCTTGCCTGGTGTGGATGCACACTCAGAGTAACATCACAAACATCATATTCACCTGAGTACATAACACCAACACACACATTTATTATTGTTATTGTTAGTGTTAGCGTTAGCGTTAGCGTTAGCGTTAGCGTTAGCGTTAGCGTTAGCGTTAGCGTTAGCGTATTGTTATTGTTATTATACCGGAAGTTTAGTGTTGTTTATTCACTTCCGGTGAAAAAACAAAAGTACTTCCATAGATTAGTAAGGAACGCACTAGCGAAGTCTAAGGTTAATCAAATATCGTGGGCGCATGGCTATGATCCAAGGGTGGACCTCCTCACTGATCTCAAAAATATGGCTGTTTGCCAGGAGTGGGATAAGCACACTGAGGATATTAAAGCAAGATTTCAATTTTCAAAAGGGTATATTTGGAAAATCACGTTTCACGCAATGAGCTTTGAAGCAATTTTTGTTTGAAAAAATGAGAAGAATTGATTTACTATGGAAAATCGTAAAATATAGGGCAAGTTTGCATTGAATGTTTAATGTTTATGAATTTTGTTGCTTTATTAATAATTTATTGCTTAAAACATGCACTCTGTTTTCCTTTTCAATGAAGCTGTAAGTTTCCTAAATTACCCTAGCTGTTTAATTTAAGAAAAAAAGGTAAATGTAAAGGAGAGCAAATTAATTTGAAGACCTACTGAAATTACTCGACAATTTGAAGTAAAAACTGTTTATCGGCAAAAGCAGTTTAGTTATTAAAATGAACATTTCAAATTAAAACATTTTACGAAGCGATTCAGATTAAATTTTACATTAAATCAAAACTCACAAAATCAAGAACAATATGCCCACAGTACATATTTCGGAAATTCATTGTTATATAGTTAAAAGCTAGCCTCCTCCGCAGGCAACTATTTGGAACATATGAGGGATAGTTGATTTGATAGTTAAGGGATAGTTGAGAGATAAGGAGGGAAAATTGGGGAAAAGGCGAGGAGTTCGCCTCGCCTTCCCAATTTTTTCCGTATCCCTCAACTATCCCCCAACTATGAATTTATTTGTGGTGTTTCAAGAGTTTCAAGGAGGCTAGTTAAAAGCAATAATCGTTCCACCATTTTTGCCGTGTTGTACAAAAGTATAATAAAAATTAAAATTATCGTGTTGCCATGGCAACACTGACGTAAACGCAAGCCTGCGTTCAGTGTTGATCAATTTAATACTAATACTTTTTGTTAAATCAATGTTTGGCAAATATGGGCGAGAAGTTGCTGCATGCAACATGTATTTCTAGTTTTATATAATAAGAATATAAGAGGGGAAGGAATTGATGGCTATAGGAGCTAAAAATTAATCAATCCCAGATTTAAAAACTAATAGTACATAATTTCTTTACAGTTTTTAATTTAGTTCACAGTTAAAGATTTTTCTATACTTTTCTCTACAGTGCTGCTACGATGCCGGTGACATTGAAATGCCTTGAACAAAAAAACAATATTGATCCGCGAGTTGCACAGTTTGTAATCCCTATCGGGGCGACAGTCAATATGGATGGAACAGCTCTTTACGAGGCTGTGGCGCCAATTTTTATAGCTCAACGCCATTATGGGGGATCCGTTGATTTTGGAAAGACACTCCTTGTGTGGTTAGTTACTTGGCATTGACCTCTTATATTATATTATATAATGTATATGGTCATGCAGCCATCCTTGAATCTATGATGTATATATATAATTATTAAGGTTGTATCTAATTAACTGTTGCTATAGAACAGACTTTACCATATTAAAGTAATATAGCCTTGAAAGGAGTAGTTCGTGCCGGGGTGGTTTAGTTAGCCGTCCACATGCAGCTGGATAGGGTCAGGGGGCGAATACCCCGGTTAAGGTCAGGGGCTTAGTGTCAGGATGTGGGGTGAGTGTGAGGTGCTCAATACAAAAAAGTGCACCTGTAATGGCTGTATGATGATATACATCGTAAAAAATAAGAGCTTGGCTATGTATTGAGTAATACTATAGTCAACGCTTGCTATTTTACGCATGCGCAACTGATAGGTTGCTCTGATACAAAGTTCAAATGCAGTGCTTCGATTAGCATAATCTTCAGATTGGGGGAAATAAAACTGAACCGGACGAGTTCGTTTTTCAATGAAAGGAGATCAAAATTAAGATGCATTATAAGATGCAAACATCGCTTCGTCGAAAGGTCATGTTTGTGCAAATAACATGGCTAAATATAAACAGGAAAATGCTTCCATTACAAGCAACTGCTGAGTTAAATTTTACTGCCACTGTGTTCAACTGCTCCCAGTCTGTCCGATTGATACGTATCCTTTTGAGAATGTGTAGCTATCATTTGCATTCAAATAACATAATTTACAGTGTTGCCACAGACACTCAAAATTAAACAACAAAGTAACAAAGTTTTCAACATTGTATTATTTTAGTATAACAGCAACCATCGCATCTATTGGAGCGGCAGGTATACCATCAGCAGGCTTGGTTACTATGATTCTTGTCTTACAAGCAGTTGGTCTTCCATCAGATGACATCGCTTTAATTGTTGCAGTTGACTGGTTTCTGTATGTATATATTTTATTTGCATATCTTTACATAACGGAGTATAAATTACAGCCTCTTAATACATGCATAGGAAACTGTTGGGTGTTTAATAGACTTTGGCTCACCATGTACATATAGATGGATTTCAAACAATCTCATGAGACTTTACAGAGGCAGATGCGGATCAAATAATAAGATTCAAATGACTAGTTTCTGTTGTTTGAGTGCCCCCCATGTGATGCGACTGAAACTCGGCATGATGAAAGCCACCTGCAAAATACAAAGACAAATTCGCCATATTGACCGCTAAACCTGAACAGTTCAATGGATGTGAATTGTATATAAAGAAGAAAAATGGAAACATAAAAGCCCAGGTTTGAACTTCCGAATCTGCCCCCCCCCCCCTTCAACCCGCATTGAAACAACGCCTGATTGCAAGTTAGCTTCAAACGATTACATCATTAATTATGTGTACACGATCGCACTTGATAAACCTGACGAGTTATGATAAATTTAGGTGTTTACGTGAGTAATCTGTTTGTGTTAATGACTTAAATCTATTCGTTTTAAATGTGTACCCGTTGCAACCATAGTATGCATCCGCACTGCACTAAAAAAATTATGAATACATGCAAAAGGCATGGGGTGCACTTGCACCTGCTGCACCCGTGTTCCGGCATCCCTGCATGGACACAGATTTAGTGTAAGGCAATTAGATATGCGAACGCGCGCATGAACAGGGATTAGGTCCCAGCCCTGGCGTTGCCATAGAAACAGAAAAAATGAACGTGAAATAGACGGCCTTGTTCATGAATTGCAATCGGGGCCTCGTATCCTAGGAAACGGGGAAAAACGCGGGAAAATTGACAAAAAGTTTTTTGCTGCTGGCTATTGCACGAGTAATAAAAATCTTGAATTAAAACGGAGCAGCTTTTTTGGGAAATATTATCTATAAAACAGCATGAAAGCTGAAATAATACTCCTGAGAAAATATAACGTGATATTTAACGTAAAAGATGCTGGGGTCAATCGGAAAAGGAAACCTTTGGCACCGTCGTCGTCGTCGTCGTTGTTTGTATGGCCAAAACAAACAACCAACAAGGCAAAAAACTAAAACGTCTATACAACACCAAAATCGTATGAAATATGAAACTAGTGTTGAAGAAATAAGATTACAACCATAGATATCTTATATACACTAGATAGCGCATCTCTTTTAGTAAAATTGAAGCCAAGAATATTCCAGCGGTTACTCCCATTTGAATAGATGGCGGCCATGTTGGTCGTTCCCACTCGCTAATAAACGCTTAAAAACAACAATAACTTTCATCATTTAAATACTTTAAAAATGTATTCGGAATAGGGTTAACTTAGTATTTAAGTTCCCTGTTTAAAAAATAGTAAATATACGAATTTTCTCTCATTTCATGGGAACGACCTGAGACTGCAATCACGGCTTCAATTTTTGAATTGCAGATTAATTAGATGCACTATCTAGTGTATATAAGATATCTATGATTACAACTCACTCAGCCTCAGGTAATCTAGCTTTCATTTTTTTTAAACCACAGACACAGTTCATATTTTTCCATGCGAATCAATAACATTTGACGTTTTCTTGTGATGTTTGGCCTCTTGTTTTCTTTCATATTAATTTCAAATTATAAAAATATATAAACTTTCGTTCCATAGTTGTCTTGATTTTTCACGTAATAACCTATACACTGTAAAAACAGATTGGTTGAAATGACCAATTTAAATTGATTCTCTCAGACGCATTAATTTAACCAATTTTTATTGGTTAAAACAACCAAAAAAAATGGTTAAAACAACGAGTCGTTTTGACCAAATAAAATTGGTCAAAAAGAGATGCGTCTGAGACAACCGATTTAAATTGATCATTTCAACCAATTTGTTTTTACAGTGTATATTGACGTTAAGATCTCGTAAAATAATGTTTTTCGCTTCTGGATATAAACACCATCGCTACGTTGTCATATTTTCACATTTTCCACACAAAAAACGGGATCGAGAAAAACCGGTCGTTTTTTATAATATAGTCGTTTATAGCTTTCGCTGTGAGCACAAAATCTTAAAATGCACAGAAAAATCGTTAAAACGAAATAAGCAACGAGAAACAAGCCGTTAAATTCGATACAATGGCGTCTGAGTTTGGCTTGTCAAGCAGCTTTCACTTGTTATCCCGCGTTTATTTCCGTTTCCTAGGATACGAGGCCCCGATTGCGATTGATGAATAAGGTCTATGGACGTGTGCGAATGAATCCTAATCGAATAAATCCTAAAAAACTAATAAAAGTACGTTTTAGTTCGTATTTCCCAAATTGGGCCGAGGTAACACAGGTTAATGTAATTTTAACACTTTGCAGGAGTGCATTTTAGTAAAAACAAGGCACCTAGGTGCTCAGGCGTTCACACTGGCCTTATAATGCGTGCTGGTGTGTAAGGGTAGAATAGTTGGTAGAACAGTTAATATACTACAAAGGCCCCAAAACTCCAAAGGCCCCCAAGTCACGTTTAAGCATAGTTTAAGGATTTAATTTTAAACCGTCCGGTAGACAGGCTGTAGGGTTCAACTAATACGCAGGTAATATACCAGAAACATTTGAGTATGCTAAGTTTCAAAATTCAAAGAACACTATATCTATATAGTAATAAACAAACAAGATAAAAAATTCTATTGCATATAGTTTCCGCTCCTTACCTTGCAGCCATTTTGACTTGATCCCGTAATCCATTGCGGTCAGCGGTTCACTTCATGTACGTAGGTCGATTTCACGTTGACGAAAAAAATGAAGAATTTTTGCACAGAAAATTAGGGAACCTCAACACTGGGCCTTACGGCCAGTGTAATTAGGAAATTGCTACACCTATTCTTACACACAAATTATCAAATAAGTATCTTTATTATATAAACATATATAAACAGAAAAATACATGGGTGCTTGGAAATACCAGATTTATTTCTCGTGTTGAACATGATATCTCACTCGTTCGCTGCGCTCAGTCGTGAGATATCATGTTCAACACTCGACATGCATAAATCTGGTATTTCCGCGCACCCATGTATTATTCTCTATATCTTAGTCGCAATTAGTACCTACCACTTGGGCTGGGCTACATTTTGTTTAAATGCGAAATAACAAACAATTCTTGCAAATATATTTCATTTTTTGAGATTTTCATTAAATTAATCAATTATTTAAAACAACTATTACAACACTGAAGATAAGCCATGCATGGAACCAAACAAAAGCAGAAAATTAAAAAAATTTAAAAAGCCGAAAGACTTGCTAAAGAGGGGAGGAAAGACGCCGACGTTTGCTACAAGAGACCGCTGAAAAACATTATTCAGAAACCCGAAAAACAGTTTATTTATTCATAAAAAAAGGTCGGGGCAAGTATTGCTGGAAATCTTAAATGTTGATGTATTGTTTGCTCTATAATCAGTTGCTTTAAAAACTGATGGTTGCGTGCATATAATGAAAAAACACAGCATATAATTCAGTGTATTTTTATTAATTACCCTTTTTTTACTCTTAATCAAAAACCTTTTTGAAAATAATTTTGAAACAAATAATAGCGATATTACTTAATTCTAGGACTAAGTATAAAGTTTTGAACGACTCGAGTCCGATTGAGTGGCAATAATATTTTAAATAATGTTAATTAAAATCAACGCAATATAAATCATGCACGCTGTAGCATCGAAACGTCGTTTAGTAAATCTAATATCATATTAGATTTACTAAACGACGTTTCGATGCTACAGCGTGCATGATTTATATTGCGTTGATTTTAATTAACATATTTAAAATATTATTGCCATTCAATCGGACTCGAGTCGTTCAAAACTTTATACTTAGTCCTAGAATTGAGTCCTTTGTGTTTGTTTTGTTTAGTATGCGGGGTTTTTTGTGTACACGTTTGATAAATTTAAGAAAGACAGAAATTTGTTTAATGTGTTTTTATGTTTTAATGTATTTTATGTAATTTATCTAATTTATTATGCGTAATATAAATTTGAATTTTGCATGCTAACGCAATAATTTGCTAATTAACGTGACACGAACCGTTTAAACACAGAGGAGAGACAAAGTTATTTTCATGCGAGAATTTGAAATCATTTTATTTCAAACTCCACGTTTATCGATAAAAGCATAGGCAGCCCAGCAAATATGTGTATTCACTTAAAAATGCGTTAAAAGCTTAAAAATGCGTATAAAGTTCGTCTGACTTTGTCATCAAACGATTTATTGTGTAGCTGATTATATATGCAGATTACTATGTTTACGTCGCTTGATCAGCCTCGTACCCAGGCTCTTTAGTAATTAATAGCGTTCAGAGCTCTGGGTGAGCTAGTCGCAATCCCCGCGCGCCTAGCTCATCCAGAGCTCTGAACGCTATTAATTGCTAAAGAGCCTGGGTACGAGGCTGTCGCTTGATGGCAAAGTCAGACGAACTTTATACGTACACATTTTTAATTAAGCGTTTAATGCATTTTTAAGTTTAGTGCATTTTTAAGTGATAAAAGGCAGTTTAGTTTTAAGAACATTTTAAAAACGTTTTGCGGAAAATATAGTGGTTTTGCCAGCAAGGCGAGGGGTTTCTGCATGGATGTCTTTCTATTATTTTATTATTGGCATTATTTTTCTGCATGGAAACAGTGGAATTATTAATAAGAAAGCTGCGAATTGATAGGCATACAACTATCTGATACAACATTTTGTACATTTTAATTTTGAGCTAGCTTACAAGGCAGTATGCCTTTTCAAAACCTCTTATGTTTATATTCAGTTCCAAGTTTCAACTCTCAAACCGTTGCCAATGAAATACTCATGGCACTTCCTGTTATCTGCTGTTGTTGTCAATTTGCGAGCCATGCCTCAACAAGAAAAATCGGATGGTATTTGGCGCGCTTGTAAATGTTCGAAGTTCGTCTCTCCCTATTTTCTCTCATATTTTCGCGTCTGTTTTCACCGCTCGCGTACTTCGTCCATTTTCAACCCCTTGAGAGACGGGCTATTTCCAAGTCTACATTTACACTAAATCAGTGTCTACAGAGCTGCAATGATTTATACCATTCGGCATTATAGCAACGCCCAGAAATTTATTATAGTTCTAAATTATAATATGTATGTAATTATTTCTGGTGTTCACAAAACTATCGATTAATGGTTACAATTTTTTAGAGCATGTTTTTTTTATGTTTACAGAGACCGCATTCGTACAACAGTTAATGTATGGGGCGATTCGTTGGGAGCGGCAATTGTCGAACATCTTTCACGTAAAGATCTCCTCGCTGTTGATTATGGAAATGAACCTCTTCCTGGAGCAGTCGATCGTACAGAAGGCCATGAGATGGACGAGGTCACTCCACTTGAGAACGCTACTGATGAATTTACATATTTGTAAATATAAGGGATGCACAGACATTTAATTTTTTATAACATTTCATCTGATCTTGTAAATATTTCTTTATTGCTGGTGTTTATCTACTTTAAGGGTGGTAAAGGGTATTTTTGTCTACCGTGATTAACAATATATATTTGTTCTCGTGAAATGTGAAATGACGGATTTTTGTATCGCGTGAAACGTGCATGACACTTAGATATAACAATTATATTTTATTGCATGCACGTAGTTCTTGATCTTTACTAAATATATCGATTGGTTTTAAAATATATGTCTTTCAATGTTGAGCTTTCAGTGGATCTAACACGTTCTACTATAGGGTCCAATATTCTATTTAATTAGCCAAAAATGGTGCAAATTTTGTATTTTTAAACAAATTTGCACAAAAGTAAAAAAATACACAAACATTGCCAATTGGTGCAGGAAAAAGAATCAATTGCCATTAATGCAAGCAAAAGAATCAGCAAATTTATTTTGCCAAGACAACGTACTGATCAAATTTAATTAAAATTAACAATACATTGAATAGACTACTCAGAAGTAGGGGCGGGGGGGGGGGGTCAAGTAGGATTAAAAAACGCAAACCACTGTGCAAACGTAGAATGTGACATCCAACAGTCAACATATATATGTATGACATTTGCATTAATTGAAAGCATCTCAAATTTACAAGTCAAAATATCTCAAAGTCATCAATTATCGAATACATCTCATAGTGTGATCGATTTATCGACAACATAAATGCTATCAATTTATTAAAACATGTCAATGTAATCGATTTATCGATACCATGTCAATGTTATCGATTCATTGGAAACATTTTGCTATTGATTTTGCAAATATGAACAAGTTCGACCAAATCAACACATTTTAGCAATAAAATAGAGAACTAAACTACTGTATTCAACTAAGTATTACTGTACATATGTACACCTCATAAAATATATAAATTGCTATGTTTTGGTGTGACGTGAAAAATTTATATTCAATATCAAAATGAAACATTTACAAACAGACCAATACAATGAAAGGGCAGAGGCTAGTAGGGCCCCGCATATTGTGTACTGCATGTAATGCTCCTCAAAACTTAAGACAGTAAAGCTGGATACATGTGTAATGTCGCATTGAGTACCAATCATTCAAATTATGACAGCTGATGTACGTATACCCCATGCATTTAGCTGTGCTGAGCTCTGTCATATTATTGAGACCGGCTATAAACGGAGAGTTATGAAGTGGAGAGTTATCTCGGAGAGTTATGATTTCGGAGAGTTATGTTCGAACCACGCCCACTTTTCCCAACGACCACACCCAATTTCTTAACTCTCCCGACGTTTCCTTGAACTAACATGAGAGAGTTATGTTTGACGTAACTCTCTCTCGTTAACATTATGAAGATGTTAGAGAGTTATCATTTTTTATAACTCACCGCGTTCACGATTGTGGCAATGAAGAGAGTTATGTCAGTTTTTTGAAAAAAAGTTCCACATTTTAGTAAATTATTCTGAATTTACTTTTTTCTCAAGTTTCAGCTTTAATATTCCACGCTAGTAGAAACTAGTAGTATTTTAGTACTTACCAAGTGAAGCAAGTACGAGTAAATAAATTATTATACATGCTCACTTGGATTACCTACAAAGCCCAACATTCAGATACAGCTCTCGTATTAGATAGAACCAGAAAACGTAATACCAATGTAATGCCCTATATTGGCTGATATGGGAAAATATTTGCAAAACTGAATTTCTGAAAGATTCAATTTTCGCAATTTTTTCAATTTTCTTGCAACTATGCTTACCGTATTTACTGCCAAATACACGTCAAAACATGCTTCTGGGGGTACTTTGACCCTTCTGCGGCAAGCATCTCGTTTTGATCGCGAGTCAAGTTGTACTATTTCCTGTTTGGACGCATGCTATTGACACGCTACAAACTGAAATACCAAAATATAAGATGAAAATCTGACATAACTCTCTTCATTGCCACAATCGTGAACGCGGAGAGTTATAAAAAATGATAACTCTCTAACATTTTCATAATGTTAACGAGAGAGAGTTACGTCAAAAATAACTCTCTCATGTTACTTCAAGGAAACGTCGGGAGAGCTACGAAATTGGGTGTGGTCATTGGGGAAAGTGGGCGTGGTTTGGGCGTAGTTCGACCATAACTCTCCGAAATCATAACTCTCCGAGATAACTCCATATTATTGCTGCGGAGCGAGCGAGCCTGAAGCGAGCGAGCGTAGCAGCAGCCTAATATATGCAGAGAGGGGGTTTTGAAATAAATTTTATTAAGCGCATGGAATTGTGGTCGTGCGCGCTTTCTATGCGCAGAACACACATTTTAAACTCGCTCGAGTCTTCGAATTTTTATCGAATTCTAACGCTTTTTCAAGTCTAATGTTGCGCTTACAATTGTTTTAGACTTTGGCAACTGTCAGCTCTATATTTTTGTAAAGTTTTGGTTTCTTATTGTGATAAATCTGTGTATATAGTCTATATAATGTGGTAAATGCACCAGCAGTAAACAGACTTGATATGAAATCTGATCTTAATTTACCTGTATGTCAATGAGACGCACATGTTTAATATCTGTCACCTCTGATTGCCCTTTAACCCCTGGTCTTTGCTACTTCAATATATATTGCTCCTTCTCAGTTCGATTCGCAGCTCACTAGTCGCTGCGAGTAATCGCTGTGCTTGATATAATTTGTGCTGTTTACTGTAGTTCTATTTGCTTTTAATGCCCGCAGCAATCCCTACCTTGCAGGTACCCTAGTTTTACTCTGTCTAGGACGTCTAGTCCCCGAGTCAACGGCGCGAAGAGCCGTTCCGGGCATAAACCTGGGGCGAGGGTACTGATTCCGCTCGGCTATTTAAACCTGGGGAAAGCAAAGCATTGGCGATCGAAGTATAAAGTGGGTGGCATATGGGTGAAAATCTCACGGACGTTTTAAATGTCGCCGTAGCTCTGTTTTACAATGGCGAAATACATATTATCACGTCTTGCACCAACGCTTACATAAGTTACATTTCAAGTTGGGACAACTGCAACCTCGTTTCCAGGCTCTTCCATGTTGTGGAGGAACTGACCCAGATCGGAGCTGGTCACGTGACCCCGCAGACTTTGCGTGGTAAATTGAAATTGAAATCTCAGGGAGGGGTAGTAGAGGAGTTTGTTGCGTTTGGAAAATTCCAATTTTATTTGTTATAGTTAATTTTAGGGTGATAAAAATGTAATTTGCAACAAGAAATCGTGAAAGGAACTGTTCTAAATTCGTATTCATCATGACACGACTTACTGCTTTACTGAATGTCATCAATAATTAATAAGTGTTGCGATACATTTCAAGGGAGAAGCTGGATCATATTTCACTTGCAAAGAAAGGACTCCACGCGCGTCTGGCTTGCGAAGTTGAGCAGGTTTCGCCGTAGAAACATACATATCGTCTACACTGATCGATCAAGCGAACGATATGGTTGTTTTTATTTGAAATGTATCCTGTCCGATATTCAAAACAAAAGATTTATTTTATAACGGGATCCTTTGATTTCCCAAACATCCCCAACTGTATATAAACAATGCTATCCTGACAGTGAAAGCACGGGATTAAAACCCGTTATGGACTGTAAAATTCCCTGCATTACATTTCTGAAACTCAACCATCAAGAATAATTATGTAAGTATAGATAAGTATAGGTATCTGTTATCGCACGAACGCCATCATGACTCCTCCGTGCGTTTCCGTACGAGCGGTACAACTTGAATATTTAGAACGAAATATGCACCAGATACTGGTATTGTAGCTTACTTTATAGTAAATTATTTCATATTTCATGTATTATCCATTGTTAATTTTTATCCTTAAACTGTATTATTTTCATACGATGGATAATAGACGACATATATGTTTTCTTCGCGTTCCTGTCCTACATGCTTAAGGTCGCTATAATGACTCTACACGACGTTTAACTTTCGGTCCCAGAAACCCACACAGATATGTAAGTTTGTTGATGGCAGCTATATTTGACTTATCCACCGTCTTTGTGAATTGGCCCCAAAATGTTGGCTAATCCATGTATGACCCATCAAATTGCACAATATTAATTTTTGGTAATCTCACTGACATACCTTTCATGCCTTCCCCCGTCTCAGTTTTCGAGGTGCTATTTTCTTCTTCCATCTTTTTTGCAGTCGAGCCATTGTTGAAGCCGATTTACTTCATCTTCAGCTTCACCTATCTTCGCTTCGATTTCCGTATTCCAGTCGCTAATCTCTTCTAGGTCTTCTTTCTTAATTCTTACCGATTTTTTTCGGCCTCAACCGTACGTTTGCACTGATCTGTTTCGCTTATTGTTGTTTCAATTGGAATGCCTTTTAAATGCCGTTCGATCGATCGCTTCTCGTTTTCCAGCGTCAAGTATTTTCTCGGTTTAATTGCGCGCCGCTAATCTCAACTGAGTGAGTTTTGTATCGAGTTTCGCTTCCTCGTTCGCCATAACAAATATTTCCCGAAGCGCAGGATTTTCAGTTTTGTGTGAGGCTCTGGCTAATGGCGATGAAGCTATGGCGATAGATATTATTTCTACCGATAGAATGTACAAATTTGGGCGAGTACACATAATAGAGACGTGACTAAACGTAAAAGCTCTGGCGAATTTGGATGGGGTTGAATGAAAAAGTCTGGCGAAATTCGCCGTTCGCCGGCCTAAACTGAAAACCCTGGAAGCGTCTAAATAGATTCCAAAATATCACAAATATATCTTCGTCCGTACGTGGGTGCCACGTATTCCGAATTGTGCCTCCAAATAAATATGGAACACGAAGTGTATTTTACAATTTAATAGAAAATAAACTATAATACAAACTATTAGAATGCTGTTTTTTAGGGTTTGTAATCCAAGTGAATATATATATACACTTTAAGATCTGACCAGGAACGACTGCAAAAAATGCAGCACAAGGTCCTCTGGTATAGGAATTGAACCTACGGCCCTTCTATAGGTGATCGGGTTTGCGGGTTGTGATAAGGTGGACTTCAATGATCTGGTTTCTTGCAGTTAATTTGGTGGAATTAATATTAGAATGCTGTTTTTTTGTTTGTTTTTTAGGGTTTGTAATCCAAGTGAATATATATACACTTTACGACTTGACCAGGAACGACTGCGAAAAATGCAGCACAAGGTCCTCACTGTTTTAAAATTCCAAGTCACAGTAACAACATTTTTCACTCCCCCTGTTTTCTCCCACAAACTCTAAACGCCCATTGTTGTCCTCCAAAATACATTAAATCGGCTATTAGTAAAACACGGAGCACGGAGCACGGAGCACGGAGCACGGAGCACACGAAGTACGGAGCAGTAGAGAAACGAAAATCCTTTATAATAAAATACACTGTTTACTATTACAAATTTTTGTTATTATTAATAAAGATTTTTCGCGAATTTACACGTTGGGGAAGTAGGAAAATGGGGCTTTTACTGAAAACATGCATATGATGCAAAACTGCCAAAAGCCATTAAGCCATAGTATTTAAGTAGGATTGTGAAACTCGTTATCTTACATCTATCAAGCTTATGTAGTTTATATATTATATTCCGATTGCCAACGCATAAAGAAACACTTACTGTAGAGAACAGCCGATATATTTCGTTACCCCTGCCAAAAAATAGCCAAGTACTCATCTTTCAATGTAGCGGATCGACTGAACATTAAAGCTTGTGATGGAGAGAAGTGAATTTTTGGTTTATCCTTCGGCTCAGTGGCAGTGACAGTGTGCTGTACGGCCTACGTTTAAACCGTTTATACAGTACATAATTACTGCTTTGAATTCACATTCTTTCAATCCGTTTTGAATATTCGGAATCATTCACAATATTATACTGAGACGATCCGAAAACCTATTCACCCCCCCACCCCTTAACTAAACATACAATTCGGTGTAAGGTTTAAAAATTGACGTGTATTATACTATTATTCTATATATAATTTAGGTAAACTCTAAAAGAAAAGCCGTACAGCGGCATATGACATTCGGTTAAAAAAACAACTCCATATACGGAAGTTTGTTCCATATATGGAGAAAGACGTGGGAACAGATTTTTAAAAAATGCTGATTTTAAAAAATGCTGCATGATTTTAAAAAAATTACGAAAATCTTTATAGAGGTATAAACTGTTCACAATTTTACCACTTTTTGAGCACTATTTTGAGCACTTTTTAGCCCTTTTTGCCAGAACTTTGTTTGGATTTTACCAGCGCAATCGGGAAGGCCTATTAACTAATAGCTCGAATAATAGTGCATTTCGATATGCGTGCGTACCATAGAAATAATAGACATAGAATGCGTGCTCCTATCTCTTCTCAGTAAAAGTTTTGTCTCCACAAAATGGCGGATTTATAAGGGCATTTTGGCTAGTCCTAGACTCCTGCGGCAAAAAAATCGCGCGGTTGCAGGAGTGCGCGAATTGTTTTTTTTCAACAAAGTTTGCAAAAACAATTATATCGAGACTTGAAGTCGAAAAAAAGCTTTTTTAAAGGAAAGAAATCCATTCCCGTGGGTTTTTTTACGAAAAGCAATAGTTCGGAACAGAATATATACAGAAATCGTTGTTTGAAAATACATTTTCAACGTTGTTGTGCAAGCCAAAACAAAACACGAAAAATCAAGACAAACTCAAACTCAATACGGGTATGTTTTAAAAAATATATTTCCACTGTTTTATAATATAAATGGAGTTCAATAATCTTTTTAAACTTACACAACTACTTTTTATTTTTTTCTATACATTGCTTGAGCTTGAGGCAACGCTTTACTTTTGAAACCATAGTTTTCGACGATTATTTAATAGGCGATTTACACTTTATCGACAACTAAATATTTTTGTTTCAAAAACATGAAAACACTTCGTTTAGATTGAAGAAAACGAAAGCCGACGAAGAATGAACTATCATTTCGTAATTTCATAAAATATTAGCAACACAGTTACGATTAGAGCATGCAAAAATGTTTTATAAGTAAATTATATTTTATACGCGAAACTACTTTGTTTTTACAAGGCTGCACGATTTTCACCGTTTTTGTAACAGCACATTTGCTTTGAGCCTTTAAAGAACTTAATATTTCAAATTCTATCCCCAAACTACAAATACAAAACGTTTTGACGATGAAAACTTTATAGTTTTAGCTTTGTTTATACTTTGTAGTTTGCACTCCTGCTCAAATTCAACATGGCGGATTTATAAGGGCATTTTTGTTTTCAATTTGGATACTGGTCACGTGACCAAGCACGTATTCTAGGTCTAATATTTCTATGGTGCGTACTCGACCAAGTATTTGGGAATGTATGCTTTTTACACGTACTCGACTTCAAAAGACAGCAAACGGCTGTACGATTTGTTAGCTTACTGGACCAAAAGTAAACGGCTGTACTCATTATTGTAACGCATATTGTGTGTACTCTATCTAGTTTAGGCTATAGTCAAAATGTCCATCACGGCACATGTATCTAGAGACTAAACTATCAAACTTTATACTTCCATCGGAATCGAAATACTGATCTACATGCGGCTGCCGGGCAGTATTTTTAAAATACTACGTGCCCGGCAGTCAGGAAACACGTACAGCACACTGGGCCGAAGGATAAACCGAAAATTCACTTCTCTCCATCACAAGCTTTAATGTTCAGTCGATCCCGGCTGCATTGAAAGATGAGTACTTGGCTATTTTTTGGCAGGGGTAACGAAATATATCGGCTGTTCTCTACAGT